CAGGCTGAGGGAATTGTATTTATTCTGTATATAGTCATAGTAAAAGCTGACCTAAATTGAGCATTTATTATGTACAGACACTGTGAGGTGCTTTCTGTGCATGATCATTTAAGTAGCCAGCAAAATTATGAAATAGCTACTACTATTTCCTCCATTCTAAAGGAGAAGAAACTAAGAGGGCAAAAAAGGTCAGAGCAGGACTTTTTTGAAATATTACTCAACAAGAAGGTGTGAGACGGCCACTGACTTCCACTGTTTGCATGATGCTGAGGTTCGGTCAGCACAGCGGGATTGTTAATGTGGTGGAAAGCATGATCTCAAGAGTGAAAAAATTCAGGTTATAAATACATTTGTCACCGCTAACTGCCAAGGCGGGGCACATATGGCAGAGGGAGGAATCCAGGATGGCTACCCAGTCTAGCAATGGGATTCGTAATGCAGGCAAAGTACACTGGGGACACTTGCTGAGCATGATTAAAATCAATTTGGGGCACACTGAGTTTGAGGTGCCCAGAGGACAAGGCTTCATTCCTTCCAAGCGCATTCCTATTTATCTACTGTGTGCCAGAGTTGTGTTATGACAAGTTCCCTGTGTTCAGGGAGTTCATCTTTATAGAGAAAACAAAGAGCTGTCACATAAATGTGATGTTAATGAAAACAATCATGACTTCCATTCATTAAGTGTTGATCACAGACATTTGCTCACTGTTTTTCTTATCCCAAATTCACACAAATCTCTCAGGTAAATGCTTGCACATGAATTACAATAATGACAAATGTCTATTTAGGGCACACTATGTGCTAGGCATACTTCACAGGCACCAACCCATTTAACCAGCAGAACTCTAGGAGGTGTTACTAATCTTATTTTACAGATGAGGAAATGGAAACACAGACAAACCAAATTACTTGCCCAGGTTAGACAGCTAATAAGTGAAAAAGCCAAGACTTGAACCAAGACAGTCTGGGCTCATTTATAGACTGGAAAACTGAGGCCCAGGGAAGCATGAGTCATTTGTCCCAACAAATCAAGCACGTGATAAAAGGTAAAGGTAGAATGTCACCCAGAACAAAGGAATGCAAGGGAGGCAGGCTGAAGCCACTGCTGTCACCATGAGCTTGCCTATCTGAAGGATAAGATAAAGCAGAGTGACTCAGGGCAAGCAAAGGGACTCAGAGACCATGCAGCAGAAGCAGATAGGCAAACAAGAAGGAGGAACCCAAGGATGAGTTCTGTGGCTTCATGTCCAACCCTCCTGCTCTGTGCCTGCATGCTGGGTGCTAGTCCCGCCGTGCTGGCCTTTCCTCCTGCTGTGCTCATTCATTAGGTCCCAGCACCAACGGCGGTGCCTCTATCCTGGGTCTCCATTGGGTCTGCTGCCTTCCTCTCCAACTCTTGGGTGGGGCTTACTCCTTCCCAATGTGTTTTATTTTTGTGGGGCACACTCCAAGGGATTAAGAGTAACTTTATGATTCTGAACAAAGAGGTAATGGTATGATTTTTCTCAAATGCCTGTTTAACTTCAAGCTCCTGTTATTAACCCTTGATTAAATGTAATTCTCGAGTCACACATGACATTATGGTGGCACAGAGCAGTGAGAACACTGTAGAAAGTGGGGGTGGGGCAGGATACCCACAGAAGGTTTCACTAAGCAGGACACGCTTGTATTCACTCAGGAAGAAGGAGCAGGGATCCCCCAGATGGCTAGAAAAACCTGGAGGACACATGGAAGGGATGCTCATGAGACATGAAAAGTCTCTGCTTTACTACAAAATGGAAGAGGGGACAGGCATTTGGCGCAGTGGTTAAGATGCCACTTTGGGTACCCACATTCCAAATCCTAGTCCTGGGTTCAAGTCCTGGTTCAGCTTGCTTTGAATTCCAGCTTCCTGATAATGCGTACTCTGGGAGGCAGCAGGTGATGATGAATCAAGTACCTGAGTCCCTGACAACCATGTGGGAGACCCAGATGGAGTTCTGAGCTCCTGGCTTTGGCCTGGCCCAGCCCTGTTGCAGGTACTTTGGGAATGAACCAGAAGATGGAAGATCTCTATTAGTCTCTTTCTGTCTTTCAAGTAAAAATAGATAATAATTTTAAAATATATTTTTGACATGGAAGAGAAGCAGTAAGGACTGACAGAAATATAAATTTATAGATATTCATATCCATATCTCATAACTTCAATTTTTTCCTTAAAGTAGGAGGCAAGGTCATATGCCAAGAAGGATTGGGATAAGGCATCTTTTTTTTTTTTTTAAGATTTATTTATTTATTTATTCGAAAGTCAGAGTTACACAGAGATAGGAGAGGGAGGGAGGGAGGGAGGGAGAGAGAGAGAGAGAGAGAGAAGTCTTCCATCTGGTGGTTCACTCCCCAGTTGGCCACAACGCTGATCCGAAGCCAGGAGCCAGGAGTTTCTTCCAGGTCTCCCACGTGGGTGCAGGGCCCAAGGACTTGGGCCATCCTCTACTGCTACCCCAGGCCATAGCAGAGAGCTGGACCAGAAGAGGAGCAGCTGGGACTAGAACTGGTGCCCATATGGGATGCCGGCACTTCAGGCCAGGGCGTTAACCTGCTGCACCACAGCGCCGGCCCCAGGATAAGGCAGCTTGAAGACAGTAAAGATTTGAGTGGTATTGAATAGAACAGGAGAGAGCTGCCCAGGTATATAGAAAAGGATGTAAGCCAACTGGTAACTCACAATTTTCATGTTCATTGTAGAACTCAAAGATTCCAGCAATCGACAGCAACAGTGCCCTTCCTGACCTACTTGCTCCCAGTAACAAAGCAAGTGATCCTCAGACAGCTATCAGCAAGGAGGCATAAAAACAGTAAGATAAGTTGTTTTTGTATTAAGTACCTTGCATGGAAATGTTCACTCAAAGCAGATGTCACAATTCTGGCAGAAGGAACAGAAAAGCTTCTAGCCATGTCAGATAAAATAATTATGTTATCTGCTTAGTGAGCTAGACACAGGGACCATGATAAAATCGTAATTCCTTAGTGATCCAGTGAGGAGTTAAATTCCTGCACTTGCCAAATTCTACTCCCTTGTTTGTGCAAGGGTAGAAATGCTGTACAAGACAGCTAACCAATTCACATATCTTATAAAGTTGTCCATTAGACAATAAAAGCTGCAGACCTGGATTTCAGTACCCAAACTGAAGCTGGTGATAGAAGCAAAAATCATCACTATATGGGCTCTGGTGGTGAGCAAATGACCCAACAGAGGAGTATAAAGTGGGGAAAGGAAATGAAAGAATGAACCTTAACAAATTCTAATATTAAAGATGTAGGCAAAAGAAAAAATCAGAGAAGGTGACTGAGAAAGAAGAGTTGGAAGCAGGAAGAGAACCAAGGATATGTTATCAAGGCCAATGAAAGAGAATTCAAGCAGTGTGGTATGCCAAAAAAGTCTAACAGAACAAGAAACTGCCAAGGGTCAACAAGGTGTGGCGAAACTGTAATTGAGAACAGTGGAGTAAAGATCATGAACAAAGGTGGAAGGAATAAACTACCATGTTTCTTCCATGGCCGGAAGGAAGACAATGAGGATGGATGCAAAAGACAAGTCTGTAGGTGGGATGATGGAATTACTGCCTAATCACTCCTACTATTTCTGTGAAGTCCAAGGTAAAGGTACTTCCCAGAGTAGGACTGGGTATTTATTGTTTCAGATCACAGACACTGAAATGAATGAACCTGATGCAAATGGAGGATAACTTATATAAGCTCCCCAAACCATACTTACCTGCCTATTTACTGGCACATGTGTCCAAAGATTTTGCTTTTTCTCTTATTCCATACGCAAAGTACTGGACAAATCTCTTATTGTCTACCTGATTCCATTCTCACTGCCTCAACCACATCATTCTACCAACTCTCCTCTCTCCTGGATAGCCTACATCATGATGGAAAATAAACTATTTTTCCCCATTACTCTCTTTCTTTTTATAGCAAAACTTCTCAAAAGGGTCAGCTGTTCTTGTCTTTTATTTCTCTCTTCTTATTCTATGTTGAACCCACTCCAATCAGACCTTTGCTCCCATCACTCCATTCAAACTGCTCTCATTAAGGTCACTAATTACCTCCACATTACAAAAAGTCAATGGTCAAGTCTCAGTGCTCATCCTATTTGACCCATCAGCATCTGTCACAATTCATCTGGAAACAATCTTCAGTTGGCTTGTCAGACACCCTGGGATTCTTCTACCTCACTGCTCACTCCTTCTTGACCTCCTTTACCGGCCCTCCTCTTCTCCCTATTCTCTTAAGTTGGAGTATCCCAGTATGCTTTGGGTCTTCTACTTCTCTATTGACTCAGATTTTTGCAGCTACTAAACCTGCTATTTTCACTTCTTGCATATCCTTCTTGGCTGTTAGCAGGTACTTTGCAAAGCTATTAGCATACAGTTACACATCTTGTTTCCCCTTTACAATAAACAACAGCCCAAATGAAGTCCTGGGAAGGCTCAGCACATTGTTTGCTATAGGCCCTACCCAAAAGCCCACATGGCTTCTCTCAGGGTTCCAGTTCTGTGGGCTAGATTTGCTTGCATACTGACCTGCACATAAGTAGGAATGCTACTCTACTATAAGAATTACCTTGGATTGTGTAAGTCCTCTCCAAAGATAACTAGCATGCTTATGCATTCATTATTTTCCCATTTTTATTTTCCCATGTTGTTATCTAATAAGAAAAACCAAAGGAGAGGTCTTCTCTCACCATCAGATTTCTCTCTTAGCATCTATAGCTAGCTATGAAGGCCCAAACATAAAAACTACTATACATATCTTTTTAAATAAAGAACTCAGTAAGAGTCATAGTTAAGAAGTTTTCAATGGTAAGATATAGGGTAGGTAGTAGATAAGATCTTGTAGCTTTTATTAGACTACCTAGTCAGGATTACTCCAAATTGTTTTATCTTTATAATCCACCTGACAACATATGAACACCTAAGTTGTTACTACTAAGTGAACCCAGTTTCTGTACCCACCTTATACTTTGAAGTATCCCAGTTGTGGACTATGCGGGCTGGGATGAGGAAGCTGTCGTCCACGTGGCAGTTGCTACAGTAATACCAACCACTGTAATTGCACACCTTGGCTTTCCCATTGGAAAGGCCAATGGATCGCTGGCAACCTGGTCAAAAGACAAAAGAAAGAATCCATGATTATTGCTGTACAAAACAGGGCTGTACAAAACTCAAGTTAAATAAAAATCTGTATCAGGCAAGAGGTCACAGAGAATACATGCACAGATGTGTCACCTTCTTCCTAGTCTGACAGCCCGCATCCTTCGCCTCCTCAGGGATTTCTGTGTCACCTGACTGGTGCCCTGTCTCATGCCTCTTCTGATTCCATCTCTGCTGCCAGATATCAGTCTCTCTATAACCCTGCCTTTATCTCCTCACTTGCCTGCTCAGAAATTCTATTCCCACCAGACACTTGGTTGGGAGCTTCTCTCACAGGATCTGTTTTAACCTGCACAACCCCTATGCAGAGGATATTATCAACTCTATTTTGCAGATGAAGAACCAGGATTTTCACTAAGTGAAAAAGCTTGTCCGAGGTCACTCTGCCAATAAAAGCTAGAGTTTGGATTCGGCTCTAAGCTTGTCAGATGCTAAAATGATCCTAAAACTGATAATGCAGCCTTCCTTTGCTTACAAAATCAATGTAAGAAAGTTAGCCTTCGGCCCCAGCTCACCTTTGCAACTCTTCTCCAATAGGAGTATTCACCTCTTTATTCCCTTACATATTGTGCTGCAAATAAACACAGCGTGCTCATTCCATTCATCACATATTGTGCACATCACTTCTCCTTACACAATACCCTCTTCTTAGCTCTCTACTTCAACAAATCTTGCCCACTATTCAAGGCCTGCAAAGTGATTGCTACTGCCCCTTCCATAGCCAAGAAGGTCCACGATTCTGTAAGCACAGTCTTGGCACTGTCAGGGGACCTGGCCCTACCATAAAGAAGCCATTATTTTTCTTTAGATAGGATGAATTACCTTATCTTCTACGGATAAGTATGAAGATTCTGTCCCTATCATCTCCAAAAACAAACCCCTAGAATCCCCAGAACAAGTAATCAAGAATATACAAACAGCAATTTGTATTTTAGAGAGTCTGAAGTTTCTGACTGGCGGTTTTCATTTTAGAGATCCTTCCATCTGGCCCATTTCCTGGCTCAGTGTCAAGAACGAAATTGATCAAAAAGATCTGACATGAAGTCTATTTCATGATGTGGATACCAAAAAGGAACTATTATTTCAATAATAATAATACTATAATGATGAATATTGCACCTCATTTCCATTACAAGATGCTCAAACACATTTATTTAACCAACAGTCAACTTAGGAAGACAATGATTCACATGAACTCCCATTCAACAGAACTTTCATTTCCATTCCTAGTAAAATGGCATCAGTAATCAAACAGTTTCCATCTTCCAGTAAGAGTTAGATCTTACTGTTCTTAAACACAAGAGGTACTGAAAGACAGTAAATAAATGTTAGTATTATGCTTCAAGAGCTTGATCCTGTTCCTTTCTAGAATGACTGAGTAGCAACAAAACCATAATAAGCTCCTGTTTATCTGACTGGCTGAGGAATGAGAAATGTGTGAAAGACAAGGAAGAAGCAAACACGCTTCTGTTTGACAGAGGAGACTGTCATAATCACAGGGCTGTGACTGCTGGAATGCTGCTTCCTGCACTCACCGACTGCATTACTCATTAGGCATTTAGCATGTGCCTCCTTGAACTGTCTGCCTTTTTATGGGCTTGCCCAGCTAGGACTGCAATATAAACTGCTCAGACCTGGTTTTTTTTTTTTTTATCCTCAGCACTTAACACAGAGCTTTACACATAGCAGACAACCAATAAATGTTTATGTTGACGGGATGACAAACAGTATTATTTGGCACATGTACACTCACATACACATAAGAGATTTTAATTTCCCATAGCCACACTAAAACTGATCCTCTTAACTTGTTCACTTACCTCTCATAGCAGGCAACTTCCATTAGTATCCCTGTTAAAACACATTGCCCTTTCTAAGAACTACATATTATACCTGTGTTCATACTTGAACTGTGAGGCAGAGTTCAGGGGATCCTGACACACCCTGGACACTGGGATATTGCTATTCCCAACAATCAGCAGACCGTCAAATTGACTTAACACTGAAATGACACTGCATAGAACTCAGTCACTCCTCATGTTTTAGAAGGAGATTATGGGGGTCATCGCTGTGGCATAGCAAGTGAAGCCACACCCATTTGGGTGCTGGTTCGAGTCCTAGCTGCTCTACTTCCGATCCAGCTCTCTGCTATAGCCTGGGAAAGCAGCAGAAGATGGCCCAAGTCCTTGGGCCCCTGCACCCATGTGGGAGACCCCAAAGAAGCTCCTGGCTCCTGGCTTCGGATAGGCCCAGCTCCAGCTGTTGCAGCCATTTGGAGAGTGAACCAGTGGATGGAAGACCTCTCTTTCTGCCTCTGCTTCTTTGTAACTCTGCCTTTCAAATAAATAAATAAATAAATATTTTTTAAAAAAAGATTATGATCTTGCAGAGATTCAGGATCATTATTATAGCTGAAATTCTCACCATATAATGCTGAAAACATAACAGATTATTTTAGCATTATGTTTATTTGAATTTTTGATATAATAAACATCAGTAAGCAATTGCTAGATATTTATATATTCCTTAGTAGGTACTGCTGGGCTTATCAGTCTATAATTTTACTGATTTTATTATAATTTTCTAGATGCAAGATATAGGCAATATTAAAACAAATATGCATTTTAGTGAAGGATAACACCTAAAAATGTTTATATCAACTTGAGCACACAGGTCCAAACCCAATATTATAGGCAGTGAAGTACATGAGCTAACTAAAATGAATTCACAGCTTTGCATAGGTGTCTGGGTGCACTGTGGAAAGGGTGAGTTATATGGCTAAGGTTTATTCAAGTTTTGGCTTAGACTAAAGCAACTGCAGATAAACTCCTGTCTCCAGGTGTCTTTACCTCCCTACTTTAATCAGAACCATGATATTCCACTGTCAGCACCAAAATCACCCAAATGACCCAGAAGAAGGTCTGAACCTGCCTGCCTTCTTGGGACTGCTTTGGACATGTGGTGCAAAGATAAGCTTTGCTCTAGAAGCTAAAGGCCTGGGTCTTTTCTTACCCGGCCTTCCTCACCATAAAATTATTAAAGGCATAGCTTAAATTGGTGTGATGCCAAATTCAGTAAGCATCTGAATTTTCTGGTGATATGCGTCTCTCCCAACCCTGATGATTTTTAATTCTGTAGATTTGGAGAAAGAACCAGGAATTCGCATTTCTAGTGAGCATCCACCCACCACTGCCACCGGCATCACCAGCAGGGATTCTGGGTAAATGCTGAGACGTGCTCCCTAATTTCAAGGTAACCTCCAAGGTCCCTCCAAGCTCTAATAAAATTCTGACTACATTAAAAAAAAAAAAGTGCAGAAGGTACACAGACTTCTCAGTGAAAAGCTCATAATTTGTCACACAGTTTACTTTCTAGGCTTCCAAAATCAACATTTCAGGCTCTTAGTTGATTTCTAAAAATTGGCCATGTAGAAACAACCTGAGCTCATTTTACCAGTGTTTTTCCAGAGCATTCTTGTCTCCACTGGGAAGTGTTCTATTCAGCTGAGACAGAATCAAAACTTTTAACCCCCAAATGCAATGTATTTGTCTTTGAAAGAACACAAGATGGTTGGGAAAGAAGATTAGAGGCTCATTAGTGGTCCAATGTAGACTCGTTTTCTAAAAAACAACACACACCACTTATTTGAAGAAGGAAACACCCGTCCTTTCAATTAACAGCAAGATTTCCTTTAATATTATACTAGTAAATCAGAGACTAAAAATGTCTTCGGCAATTCCCCTATAAAGATACACAATCTGGGATTTTACTTTATCATTGTGAAGTTTTCAACAGGAGAAAAATGTGTTTTCTTAATAATGACAGTGACAAAAACACATTTTTTTGGAGGGTGCCAAGGCTGGACTCTGAAAAGCGACATTATGGGGAGAAAAATAGAGCTGCAGAGTAGAGACAAAAAATAATTAATTGAAATAACTAATTAGAGCTTATTTACATATATTTTTATGTGCTTTCAAACAGACTTTTCCACAATGTTTCTAAATTAAAGAGCATTTGTAGTAGGGAACACTCAACATGTTGGATCAAAGCAAATACATTCTTCCTAGTCTCTTTTTGAAACTTTTCAAAGTGTATTCAATTCAGAGGAACAAAAACCTATCTCACAAGAGAACCCACTGGCCTTTTTTTTTTTTCATTGCTTCCCACCCCACTTCAAATCGTTAATGAACACATGCTCTGAAGAGCTTAGCTTCTCCTCTGATACACTTTTGGAAACAAATGTTACCATTTAACCGAAATCCCATTTTCTGCATGTACAGTCTATTTCCCAAATGGCCTTTCACTAAGACGCCCAAAAGAATCTGTTGCTGGGGGTCTAAGCAGAAATTTTGGCATAATTCTCCAAAAAAGCACAATCTTCCTTACAAGTGTACCCAGTGAGCTCAATTGGCCGCCTTGTGGTGTTATGAAGGCTGAGATCTTGAGGATGAGCCAACTACCTTCTCTCTACTGCCCAGCTACCAATCCAGCCCTCCTTCTACTGAGCAGCAGTGGGAAAACTCAAGGGCATAAGAGGGAAGCGACAAGATCTGAAGCTGTACCCAGGTGACTCTCACTTTGGGAAGAACTCATGTGATGCTTTCCAGGCATGGTAGTCATGCCAGCCCCTTTCTGTGTCTTTAAAGTAAGCTTCCACCTAATTTGGTTAGATCAATTCAGGGTTTTGTACTTGGAGAGTAAAAATGCTCTAAGAAAAAAAAGGGGGGGGGCAAAGAAAAAAAGACAAGGTGCCTTTGTGATAGGAAGGGAAAAAGATACAGAGGACACAGTTTCACTTGCTCTGATGAAAAAGGAAGAAAGGAAAACACCTGTCAAGGTTCACAGCCTCTTTGCAGACATGGGGTGGGGAGAGATGTCCACAGGAATGAGAAGGGCGACTGCCCCGTCTCTTCTCCTTTCCTGCCCGGTCCTGGCAGGGCCAGCTAGC